TGACCAGGATTGGGGTTTCCTAGGTGCACCAAAGGGGCATGGGGTCTGAAAGTTGGGAAACGCCTATTGCCCAGTTCTGCCTGGACTACAGAGACCCCCGGCCCTTGTCTGGGGACAGAGGTGTCCCTCCCCACTAGGAGCAAGAGATGGCTAGCTTGTCCTCCCTATCATCTTCCCAGTGCACCTGTTATGAACGTCCCCTGCTTAGTCCCGTCTTCATCCCCCCTCCCTGCCCCCGCAGGACATCTGCTATCAATACCCCATGCTTAGTCTTGCCTTCAGCCCCAACCCCAGGCTTGTAAATATTGACAGGAAGAGAGAAATGAGGTGTACAGAAGATAGCCATGGAGAGGCACGTGTGCTGAGCCCTGTGCAGCTTGCCCCTCCCTGCCCCATCAAACTTTGCTGGGGCAAAAACCCCCACAGTGAAGCCTCTCCCAACGGCCTCTCAAGCAGGGTATGGTGACCCTAGGGCGCAAGGACTCCAGGTTCTGTTCAAACTCACTATTCCTGAAGAGAAGGCTGGCAGACAGGATGCATTTCCTTGCGAATACCAGCTGTACCCTTTATTCACTGTGAGGGTAACACAGAGCAGGGGCCAATTTGTGTTTAGGGAAGAGTCAGACCAAGGAATGGAAGGTCTTTTCTCACCTCATGGAGCAACACTAAGATGGTTCAGTCTGTAGTGTTCTCTTACTCCAGCTTTGTATGTCTGAACTTCTCATGAATGTGTGCAGAGGAACCCCAGGAGGAACACCCAGGCTGGGAAAGACCTTGCCCTGGGAATGGCAAGCTGAGATGCAGCATGTGAGTGGGCCATGGTACATGTAGTCTGTTTCCTTGGGACCCCACAGGGTCTGCTGCCTGGAGGCTGGGGGAAAGGAGCTGAAAGTTTGTGCGGAAGAGGAAAAAGGCACAGTGATTGGGTCTGGGAGTATATGAGGTGAAGCTGTCAATCTCAGAGAACAAGGACAGTGATCCTAATACAGGACTCTGTGGGGGGGCGAGGGCAGGGGGAATCTCAGGAGAGTTTGTCATGGCTAAGTTTGAGCTTCCCCAGGGGAGCTCTCACGTGTGGCAGCATCATTTTGGGGAGGTGTGTCCGAGACAGCTGGTGGGGAGGAGCAGTTGGGGGAATCCAAGGGAAAGAGCAGGGGCTGAGAAACATTGTCCTTTCACGACGTGACATATGCTCATTTTCTTTCAAAACCTTGGTAACTGTTTCTCCCACCTCTCCTATTCATCTATTTCCCCAAGACTTGAATAGTATCGGCTGTGTTCCTTCTGAAGCCTAGGGTGGTCAGGACACCAGTCTTGTGATACATGTGACAAGCATCCAGATAGTTGACCCCCTCTGCTTTTTAAGGTCTGTAACTTAACACTGCATCTCTAAGTAACACTTGGATAGACTCCCACACCCAGTGCTCTCCTTTCCCCATCATGCCCGCCTTCTCTTTTCATGACTTGGAGATACCCTTTTCTTTCAAGAAATTCACTTGAAAGTTTGGAGATCAGTAGCACATCTAGTATTTAATGCACTTAGTTGCAGACGCCAAGTGGACTCTTGTAATAGGCAGACAGGAACAAATTTTGGAGCTGTGGGAGGAAAGGTGCCTTTTTTTGGTACCCAAGGAGTACTGATACCAAACATTGTTGGGCCCACGTTATAGAGAGAAGCATAAGTTGAAGCAGAAGACAGTTTCTAGCCTTCATTCTGTTTCATTCTCATTTTGTGGCCTGTGGACAGTCACATGCCTGTTCTAAGTCTTAGTTTCTCAATTACAAATGGAACGACAGCCCATTTATATTTGGTTTGTAGAATGGTGCACACTTTTGCATATACACAACCTGAACTAATATCTCTGTCACTGGCTGAACCACAATTGAACCTTTGTAAATTTCCTTGTTGGAGAGGATGGATGTTATCTTCTCCATAGCTGATGCTGAAGTCAGGGGCACAGATTCCTTGTTAAGAATGGAGTACAGCACACCTCTGCGCCTCAGTATTACCCATGTGTTACACATGTTCACCACCCTATTATATGTATGTTCTAAGCTACAGCCTTGGTATCGATTATTTATGGCTTTGCCTTCAGCAGCGAGATAAGAAAAATTCAAGTATGAGCTCCAAATGTAACATTTGACAAGACTTCCTGGGCCAGGAGTGATTTGGCTCATGTCTGTGTGTGCCTTGCTTTGCTGGTGGCATTTTGAAAACACCACATCCCTCTGCTTTTAGGCATAGCTAATGAAGCCTCCTTCTGCCTAGAACCCTCTCCCCTTTTCTGTCTCAACTGGGTAATTCTCACCCATCTTTCAGATTTCATCTCCATAGTTCATGGAGAAGACAAAGTAGGTAAAGGCTCTTTTTTGTCTTCACAGAGTATATGCTGCATCTTACAACACAAATCCAGTATTGCCATCGTTAAGTCTCCATCAGGCAAGAACTACTACTCATTTTGCCTGCTATATTTCTTACAGCCCATAATAGGCGCTCAACAAGTATTTGTTGAATGAACGAAAGAATGGTATTTGAAGCTGGTTTTAATTTGTACTGACAGAGAGGCCGGTATCTCGAGACAGAGGCCAACTCTGAAAGAACTTGTTGGCCCAGTGGCTGGGGAAAGAGGCTGAGGGGCTCCACTCCAGGCTTGGCCCTCATCAGAGTCACACAGAGTGACTAGTTTGCATTCCGGCTGATTGGTTCCTTTGAGTCTTCAGCCCCTTGGTTCTCTGCACTTTTCCTTCCCCTCACATGCTCCTAGGCCTCATGTCATTGTTCTCCTTTCCCCACAGTGAACCTCCTCTCCAGCCTTGTGTTTTCCTGGCTGTGGGGCTCGCTGGGGCATCCACATCTCTGCAGGTGCTCTGTAGGGAGTTAGTAAGTTATACCTCCTGCCCCGCTCTGGGCCTCATCTTCAACTGTTACTTTCAACTGCCACCAGAATGTTCCACCTTTAACATTCTCAGGGGTTGCTGTCCTGGTACTAGAGTACCAGAGGGAGCCCAGGGCAGGGTCCAGGTGCCACCTTCCTAATGGGCTCAGCCTTTAGTGTCCTGCAACCTTTCAGAAGTACATAGCTGTTAGCTTTTCTAACCAAAATTTTAAAGACTTTTGACTTTATGTGATCTTTCTGTGATGGCTTCAGAAGAATTTCACTGGATTCTCCTAGTTGAGAAGAAACCTCTGGATGCACTGGCAGAGCCAGCTGAGGACAGTTGTTGACCAAAAGACTGTCTGTGGCCTCACTTGGCCCACCTGCCCGGGAAGCTCTTGACCTCAGGCTGCAGGTGCCCCAGAGCAACCTCCACTTCAAGGCTACACAGAACTTCTGTTCCTCTATCGCGAGCACCGGGGCCTTGGAAGTGTAAAGGCAACGCTGAAGTCTCAGATACTGAAATATGCCATTTACCATGACTTTTCATGTCATTTATCATGACTTTTCCCAGGATGTTGAACACTCAGAACCCCCACGCCCCCCAAATTTAGGCTTACCCAGCTCTCTTCTGAGTTTCTGTTGCTATTGGGAAAATTGCCCCTTCCCGTTGTTATGTCTTTAACGAAGGCCAGATATCTACTACCTGGGAACTAGAGACTATCAGGGGCTGTCTTTGAGTTCCAATGCTTATCCTGCTCGCTTTTCCTCTTGGGCAGGGCGTACTTTGTCCTTTCCTCATTCCTGATGCACCAGGCCTCATCTAGGTGCTGGGAATACACACAAAAGCGCTATGGAAACAGCAATGCGCTCTTTATCCTTGGGGCTTGACCTGGCTTGAATGAGTGTGTATAATAATGGTGACAGCTTCTGGTCCAGAAAAGAAGCTAAGACGCCGTGGAAACTTCCAGACTAAATTCAGTGTTTTCATTTTTATCCTAGAAGACTTGAGGATGCTGTACTGTTGAAGGCTTTTAAGCAGAGGGGATTGTATGATCACATTTCGATTTCCCTGTTAAAGAGGAGATAGTGCTGCCGCCACAAGAAGGCAGGAATGGAGGCTGCTCTTGAAGTCCACAGAACAGGGCAGATGCCTGGGGAAGAAATAAAGTGAAAAAAAAAAAACCGAGGAAAGATGAGTGATAGGGCCAGGGAGTTCTATGCGTCAGAAGCAATGCCTGGGCAGGGACGAGCCTATGCAACACAGTCCTGAGACTTGGGCGTGTTGAGGTGTGCCTTTGACCTCTTTGCTATTAAGGGATGGAAGTTATAGAAAGGGGCCAGCCAGCCAGAATACAGGCATTAGGGAATTACTTGCTTTTGGGTATAATTAGGTCACAGGCCCAGATGAACCTACTGTGTCATACACAGAAAAGCAGGTGCTTTTTGGGATTGGGCAAAGGAGGAGGAACTCTCAAAGGGAGAAGTGTAAGAAAGCCAGGAGAGCAGCAGGGGTACCATTATATCACATCAGAAGGCAAGAGAAAGCCTATCTTTGGCTCCATCCTGATTTGCTTTAGGGAGATGGTGTCGTAAAAAGCCATGTCTCCTTCACTCCAAATGTAAGAGATAGGGAGAGGTTGGTTTCTGCCAAAGGGCATGGGTTCTCTTAGCATCTGGGGACAGAAGGCCAGAGCTGGCTCTGGCAAAGCCTTGTAGATCTGGTGGCAGGGAGAAGACTATCTGGTTGTTAGAAGTAGACACGGAGAAGCCCGAGGAGGTTCAAAGCCTGGTGGCAGCATTTCTTCCTCTGACTGCAGGATTCATGTTGGGGTGAGTGTAAGCCAGGGAGGTACACACTCAAGAAAATAGAAGGGCAGAGGGATTGGAGCTGGGGGATAGTCTGTAGTGGCATGGTAGACATTAAGAAGCTGAACTACGGGAAGAAAATAGGCATTGGAAGCATGCGACAGGAAGGCTGGTGTAGAATGAATGCAGGAAAGGGAAGGAGGAGATGGTTTATCGTGGGCATATCCAGCCCTCTAGACATGCTCCAAGGAGTCTAGGAGTCTAGTCCACGGGACTCATGGAACTGAGATAGGCAGAAAGGTTTGTGTTCCCCCCCCGGCATAGTTTTGTGTTTTTAAAAAGTCAAAAGGAAGAAGATGGAATGAGGAAGACTAGCGAAGGCTGGTCTAGGAAGGGGGCGTGCTGACCAGGCCTGATGGCTGCTACTACCAATGCTAGGCCTCACAAGGGCTTTCTGAGACCCACTTACCAGTCTTAGGAACTACCCAAGTCTTCCAAAGGGTCCTGAGAAACGTGAATGTGGAGAGGCAACCTGAGAGAAGCTTGAAAGGGCCCGTGTGGTCTGTGAGTAAAGAGTCTCCTGTGCAGAAAAAGCAGCCATCTGGCACCTGGCCAGGCATGAGAAAGCTCACGCTAGGAGGGCTGCCTTTAGTCTCTGGATCCACAAGCTGGTCACAACCATTCCAGACAGACCCCGGCTAGAAGTCCCGTTGGGTGACTCTCCTTCCCTGTATCGAGGCGATCCAGTTCTGCAAAGTTGTAGGCTTGAGGCCCTGGCTGCAATAGTGGGTAGCAGGTCAAGGGAAGGGAGAGCTCATATTTTTCAGATCCCCCTTTGGTGTGTGGCTTAGAAAAGCCAGGTATGCCACAAGTGCTACTTGATATTGCCATGACGTCAATAGGTATTGCCCATTTATATGAAATAGTCCTTATGGGCCCAAACCACATCTCCAATTATTGTGACCTCACGTTGCTTATAAAGTTTTATGTCTAAAGTTTAAAAAAAATGAAAGTATTGATAAAATTCCATTTTGGAATCGTACACCAGGAGCTTTTGGAGAAACTGTTTCGCAAGTACGGCTATCAGAATGGAAGGGATACAAAATTAGGAGCCAGAAGGCCACAGATATTTATTGCAGCATCTCTCATGGACTGGGGCTGGTGCGTGGGATGGAGATAGTACTTGTGTGAATAAAGCTGACCATCCTTTTTGAAGAGACAGCCAAAACATGTCTTAAGAATGATGACTAAGGCTGCGGAGGGAGAAAACGGTAGGAACAACAGGATGGTCTTTTATAGAGAGCTCTGATGAGGCTGACAGGAGGCAGGGTGCTGAACAGTCAAATTGGGAAAAAAGGATGTTTGGGGTTATAGAGTAGGTTCTTGGTGGAAAATGATTTTCTCTTAAGGCTTTCTGAGGATACTGTAGGCATCAATGTCCATACTTGTAAAACAAATAGTTCTATCTACCTCCCCAGGTGAACCCACTGAGCTGGTGTGGGGACCCCATGTCTTGAGTCTGCTGCACTTTTGTGGAGCAGAGATACCCAAAGTCCTTAGTGAGGAAGAACTGTTTCTTTTTTCCATTTGTACGTGCAGGGCATTTGATTGCCCTGTATCATATGATGGGACATGTCTGTCTGGGCCAGGTGGTAGGTGACGGTTGTGTTGAGTAGGAAAGACCTAGCAGCTGTGACTAGCAGCCCAAGGGACAGAAGATACGTCTGAGGTTGGGACCCAGCAGGCCAACTTCGAAAGTGATGAGGCAATGCCAGACTTTTGGCAAGCTGAATATCCAGAGATGATTTCAGTGCGGGCAGCTGTTTTAAACCGTGTTCAGTGGAAACCATCCCTTTGGAGATCCTTTCTGAAGAAGGTCATGGTAAATGCCCTCGGTGAACTGCAAAAACAGGAGAGCCAGGCATGCATCCCTCTGGTTGCTCAGAAATGTGGGTTTTCAATAAATATTTGATGAATTGAAGGACATTATAGGGAGATGTCCCAGGGTAGCAGAGCCTGGTGAGCCCCCGGCTGTGAAGGCCCCTGTGGAATAAGTTGTCAGTGGCACTGTGGTGCATGTGCTAAAATGGCCTGAATCCAAAACAGGATTCAGGAGAAGGAGGTGGTCTGTCCCCTCTGAGCTGCACAGTAGAGCATCAATCAAACCAGTCTACATGTCATCCAGGGTTTTTTTTTTTAAGGCAGGGTCACACTATGTAGCCTTGGCTGGCCTGGAACTTGCTATGTAAACCAGGCTGGCCTCACACAGATCCATGCGTCTCTCTTTCTGCTTCCCGAGCGCTGAGATTAAGGTTGTGCACTGCCATTGCTTGACAAGAAACCTGCATGTGCAGACTGTGATAAACCTCACATGGCCAGTGCCAAACCCAGTGACCCTCAGCTGGCCTCTGGAGCTTCAGAACCATGCCTTGTGTGTGCTGATGTCTTGGTTACTGTGAGGAAATGTAGAGAGAAAGAAGCAGCCAGTTGGCGAAGACATTGGCCACTGCTGGATATAGTCAAGTCGCATCCTGATAAACATTTCTCAGCTGTACTTAAAGGGACTGAAGGAAGCAATGGAGAGATGGTCCACTTCTCTGATGGCCTTCAGGTGAGAGGATAGGGGGCTCCTCTTTAAGGAAAGGGTATAGGAAGAGAGATGGGGGGTCTATTTCATCCAAGAAGGGAAGACAAGGAAGGGGAGGAGTCTACATTTGAAATGAAGTTTGGTTGACACCTGTTTCTGTGAGTAATTATTCACTCATTCTTTGTGTCTTTCACATAATGTATCTCAATTGCATTCATCCCCCTGTCCCTTTGTATCTGCCCTCCCCCTCCCCCCTCTGCCCTCCCCCCCTCGACACTTTCCTTCCCCCAATAAAATTTAGGATAAAATAAAAGAGGGGGGAAGAAAATCTCATCATGGGAGCTGTGGTGTAACATAGAGAAACACACAGCAAACCCTTTAGTCCATATATCTTTACTTGTAAGTGTTCATTGCAAAGAGTCACTAGTCTGGTTCAAGGCCTCTGGTTTCTGCTGGACAACCGATACTGAACTCTTACTGTGACTTTTCTTGGTCAATCTGTTGTCCTGCATGGTGAACATCCCGCAGCTTTGGGTTTGTGGCACTGGCCCCCTCACGTGCTCCAGTAGACTGTAGATGAGGTGGATGTTGGGGTGGGCCAACTCATAGCCATGGCTCCAGGACTGGGTAGCTGTAGGGCTGGCCTTCCTGGCTCCCACCTTCCTCTGCTACCACCAGGGTGAGCTCTCCAGTACTGCCCCAGCTAGTTTACCCCATGCAGCAATGAACAAGGAATGGGGCCAATCTCCCTGGTTTCACACCCTTGGGGCCAGCTCTCTAGCTCACCTGCATCTGCATCACCAGGACCAGCTCTACTGTGCTGCCCAGGCGAGGTGCAGAGGCCACTCTCTTGAGTGCTGCAGCTGGTGAGGGGCAGGGACAGCTCTCCCACTCTTATAATCTCAGGGCTCGTTCTCCCAACTGCCAGCATCTTTCCCTTACCCATACCACTATATGGCAGATGAGCTCGCGAACACTTTTAATAGGATCTGTGTACAGTGTTTGCTTTAGCTAAGTGAGCCGATGGCTTTTGCAGTTGTACAGGAAGGGAAATGGGAGATGACTGAGATTACTGAGGAGAAAGCAAAGGGTCTGAAGAGAGCTGCAGACTGCGTCCCCAGGGCATACGCCAAAGGTCATGCTTCAGCGTGCTGAAAGGCCAAATGCCGGCAGTAGCAATCATGAGGAAGGTTTGGGACACTTGAGTCGCGGAGGCCAGGGAGAGGAGGTATCAGGATGGTGGAAAGGAGCACCACTTCTTAGTTCCCTTTTCCCTGTTTCCTCAGAGCCTCAATGGGTGGTGATGCTTTGGACCCAACTGAAAGCGCTGTTCACAGGAAGCCATAATGGAAGGATTCTGGCATCGTGTGGAAGGAAGACATCAAGTCACGGAGTGGTTAGTACTTCCCAAATGCACCGATGTGCCCAACAGCATCCAGTCAAAGGGTAGCAGCTTTGCAAAGAAATTCTGTCTTTGGATTGGTGTTTCATTGTTTTGGAAGAGCAGGTGACACCAGCCTAGAATAAAGGACGAGTAAGTAAAATAAGGGGACAGGCACTTGCAGTTAAGACTTCACAGCATGTTTTAAACCTGAAGTTATTGGAACAGTATGAAGCTGATGGTAAAACAGCGGCCACAGAAAGCCCAGACACAGTCTGAGCTTCACCTTAAGTGCTGTTGGAGGCATGGGTGCTTCCAGTTGGATCCTGAGCAGTACAGATGCTGGAGCCAGAGACTGCCTCCATTGATTGCCAGCATCACGCAAAGGCTGGGATGAGGGCATGATCGAGCGGAGGACCACTGACCTTCCACATGTCTCCTCGTGTTCTCTGTCCTATCACACAGTGTTCAGCACCTAGGAATTATGATATTCCCATAGCCGGTCCCCTCAAGTTTGCCAAGAGAAGTCTGCATGATGATCTTTGTATTCTTCAAAGGTGTGGTGAGAAAGGCAAAATTGAGTCTGTGGGACACCTCATCTTAAGCCAGGCAACAAATGCCATGGCTCCAACTTCAGCCTCACTGAATGTAAGTAAGCTTTTTTTTTTTTTTTTGTGGAAGGTCATGCCTGTTCCCCCTCCCACCCCCCCAATCCCCTCACCGCTCCCAACCAATATGTAGCTTATAGTGTAACCTTTCATGTTTGAAAGTGGCTTTATCTAACGAAGATGCCATTTCCAGGTCGGTAGGACAAGAGCAAATCATGAAGGGACTTGCTCAGAAATGTCCTAGTCGTCCCCACCCCCAACCCAGTGACTATGTGGGTGCTGGATAAGGCCTGTCCTCAACTCCAAAAAACAACATAAGGGTAAAGCAGTGAGTCTTTGTCTTCCCTTTCTGTAATGCAGAAAGGCTCAGAATACCCAAATCTTCACATTCTGGTTTCTTCTCGCTTCACAGTTCCCTCTTCAGCTCATGTCTCCCTCTTCTTGTATCTGCAGGCAGTCGGGGAAGCAAGCTGCCCTTCAACACTCTGAATGTGTCCTCAAGCCAGCCAGCAACTCATTGGCAGTCAAGTCTTAGCGTCCACAGGGTGCTAAGATGTAAACGGAACTAGCCAGGCCTTTGCCATGTGTCACAGTGATGTCACAACGATGGCTTCTTATCCTTTGTTCAGCAGCACTGTGCTCATTTCCTCCCGAGAGAGCATCAGAACGGGTTTTGCCGTCCATCCCAACCAGCATCCTGTTTGGGATTATGGGCCCATTTTCAAGGGAGATCAAAACCTTCTCCCTAGCTTTTCCCATCTGTGACTGAGTCCATCTTGCAAACACCTCAAAACCTTCTACCTCTTATCATTGCATCCTAAAGCCAGGTCTGCATTTTTAGATATTTGTTCCCACAGCATCCCATTTCTAGCAACCAGTTTGTTTTTATTATGCCTGGGCTGCTGTCAGAAGAATAACAAAGTTGTTTATCAACAAGAATTTATTTGTTTGTTTGCTTGTTTATATATGTCAGAGGCTGGAAAATACAAGGTCAAGGGGCCAGCAGTCTTGTATTTTGGTGTCTGGTTCACTGTTTTTTTTTCAAGACAGGGTTTCTCTGTATTGTTTTGGAGGCTGTCCTGGAACTAGCTCTGTAGACCAGGCTGGCCTTGAACTCACAGAGATCCGCCTGCCTCTGCTTCCCGAGTGCTGGGATTAAAGGCGTGTGCACCAATGCCCGGCTTCCACTGGTTTTTTATTTGCCTGCCATCTTCTTGTATTTATGGGAGAGTGTGAGAGCATCTCTCTCATGGCTGCTTTGATGAGGGCAGCATCCCCACTGTCAGATTACCTCCCTAAGGACCCACCTTCGTTGCTATCACATTAAGAATTTGGGGTCTAGCATACACATTCTGAAAGTGATTCAAATGCTTAGTTTGTAGTATGAAAACTCAAAGTCTGGTTCTTTGACTATAATCATCATGGCATTGTGTATTTGGAGCCTATCAGTGTAGTTAAACTCAGGGTTATATAGTGCTTCAAGGACTGAGGCCATGTACAGCATCCAATGCAAGCTCAAATGATGCTATACTGCCCAGCATTTAACTCTTAGGGTTTGTACAGATGAGTCTGTTTACACAAACTATGTGTGCATCGGTCTGTCTGCCTTCTCTTAGCCCCTAGCCCCAGAAATACGCTCAAGTTTAGCATTTGCCAATGTACATTGGTGGTTGTTTCTCTGGCCGACTCCCCCAGCTTGTAGTAGGTATTTAAATATTGCTTTGAGATGTTTCCCAAACCTGCATTTCTGTTGATGTGACTAGGAGGTTTGCAAGCTATAGTCTGTACCACAAACTGCATCTAAGGTGTGTGTGTGTGTGTGTGTGTGTGTGTGTGTGTGTGTGTGTGTGTTTTCTCTCCCTTGGAATTTTATGGCTAGGCTCTCTATGCCTGGGCCATGGTCTCCATCCACCCAGTTTCCCTGGGCTCTTGTTACTGGGGATTTTGGTACTCGAATGGAATGGGGCTGGGGGATGATCCTCATGCTCACTTTAGGGCAGCTGTCCAGTATCCAAGGTAGTAAGTATTTGGGTGGGTCCTGACTGCCTCATTAAGTGGCACTGAAGGGTGAGGGTTAAAATCTATTTTTTTTAAAGGAAACAAAGCAACTTTACTTCTTGTGGCAAAAAAACAAAAACAAACAAAAAACCCAACAAAAAAAGCACCAGCTATGGGTTTTCTTACTGAGCTAGCTTTATGCACTGAAAGAAATTGCCAACCGGTGTTCATTTTCTGTGGTTGCTCTTGGTTAGTCTCTCTCTCTCTCTCTCTCTCTCTCTCTCTCTCTCTCTCTCTCTCTCTCAATCTGTAATTCGGTAGGAAGGCATGTTGGCCTTACCATTTTCAATTGAAGATATGATCTGAGGTCCTAACAGAAATATGGATGCCAGTTTCTGCACAGAGAGGCTAGAGGTGGTGTGGGGGGAGGGGACTGGAGGGACACAGAAGAGTCTCACAGAGGAGAAGATGGCTTCCAGTGTTGGTGATAGTGAGCTTGTCCCCAGGAGGCAGTATGACTCCCTCCTTTTACGGAACAGCTCCTCTGAGGGATGTGATGCTGGTGGGTCTGTGGAACCTACACGTCCCCACCTTGGGGCTGCCACCATCTCTGTTTTCATAATTCCTGCTGTTTGGAAAGCAAGTGGTTATGACTGGGCTTGGGGTGGGGTGTCTCCTCAAAAGTCGAATGTCTTATGATTTGGGATAAGCCAACTGACAGAACTTGTCTCAACCTCTTGGGGGATCCTTGAGTCACCGGGCACATGGACCTCGCAGAAGTGAGGCTCATGACCACAGGGCATGAAGAAAACCCAGGCTATTTAAAAAACGTGTTTGTGTTTAAAAGGAAAAACACAACTTTGCAATGTGTGCCGTGAAAACATTCCCAGAGTGAGACGAGGAGACATTGGCAGCCAAGGGAGGCAAATCTGTTCTAGGACATTGTGTGTGTGTGGGGGGGGGCACACACTTCACTTCCAGGCTCCACCCCATTCCTGACCCTGTGACCACCCCCCAGCACCCCCTGCCAGCTATCTTAGGAGAAGCAGCTCACCACTTCTCATCCTTAGGGTGACAGAAGAAACATCAGCTCCAGTTTTGCATTAGCTTTAAAAAGCCCAGTGAAAGCCCATCTGGAGCTGTCTGGAAAAGGGAGGAGTCCCATCATCAACATAGCGGTAGCATGGCTTTCTCTGCTTGTTAATGCTATTCACAGCCTCAAGAAGTAAAAACAACTGAGGGAGTAGAAGGGAGCGCCACAAATTTCCAGCCACAGCCCTCTACGTAAAGGGAGACAGCTGAGCATCCTAACTCCGAACTTCTGACTCCAGAAAGATGCTGAAGCAGGTTCAAGAACTCACAGCCTGCGCCTTGAAATGTTCACTTACCCCTCTCACTCGATTCATTGCCAGTGTGGATTGTGTCTGACTGGCCTGCTAAAGATAAGTCAAAGAAAGTCAAAGAATTTAAAGTATTTGGGAGAGGAATGATGAGGCAGATCCCGGGAAGGAGTGGAGAAACTGTGTTTGGTATCCTGTTTTCATAGATTAAATTCTGGTTACCCCAGCCCACCTGTATTTTATAAGTGGCCAACTGTAGTCTAAATATAAGAATTGTGCCTTTCAGAAAGTAACTTTTGTGTGTGTGTGTGTGTGTGTGTGTGTGTGTGTGTTTTCAAGACAGGGTTTCTCTGTAGCATTGGAGTCTGTCCTGGAACTTACTCTGTAGACCAGGCTGGCCTTGAACTCACAGAGAACTGCCTGCCTCTGCCTCTGAGGTTAAAGTTGTGCACCACCACTATGCAGCTAGAACATTAAGAAATGGAGAGGGGTGACTGGTACACGTGGAGTCCTTCTCTAAGCTGATTTCCCTGACGGGGCCTGGAGGTGTTGCAATGTGTTTGTCATGTTTCTGTTCACCCTGCAAGTCCATGGTGCTGGACAACCTAGTATGGAGGAGATGATTAGGTCCCCAAAAGCCCGGGATCTTCACATACCTTTGCTATTTGACAGGATGTGTCCTGCGAGTTATCTGGAAGTGGTCCTTTGACTGGTCACATGGGAGGACTGAGCCGCTGACAGGATCGTTTGGTGATGGAACTAGATAGAGTCTCTAAAGAGAGGTCAGGGAGCTGCTTTTTTGGCGGCAATGCAATTCAGGAGGCCAGTTTGCCTGACGGCTGGATGAGTATGAGACTACAGGTCAGTCATCTGTAGGAGGGAGACAGGATGTTGGCTGTGTAGGAAAAGGACATAATTAGCCAGTTAGACTATGGGCAGGCTTGGATGAAGACAGCAATCCTAAAAAGGGGCTCCTACAGGGAGTGTGTGAGGCCACTATGTTGAAAGCGTGGGTTTCTTTTCATGGATCAGTGTGCCAGCCCATGCATCGAGTGCACCCTTCTGCAGACTGCCATTGCCCTTCAACTTCTCATGACTTTTCCCAACACAATTTCCAAAGGGGACTCCTCTTGTTTCCAGTTAAGGCATTCGGCCAGAAGGTGCTATACAATCCAATGGCCACCTAGAACAGGTCTGAATGTCCCATTTTATTATAGCTGGTTAGATGACCCTGGGGCCTCTCACCTCGTCATGCATACAAATGAGTCACGAAAGGGATCTCACAGGATTATCTTTAATGCATATTAACTGAACATATTAGTGGGGTCCAGTGTGACAAATGAGAACAGTGTACACTATACATTACTCTGATAATTAAGAAATCAGGCATTTTTTTCATATATTTATCAGCAATTTTTATTCTTTGTAGCTTCAGATCATTTGCCCATCTTTTAATTAATGACTTTTTTTAACTTTAGAAATTTTTGACAAGAGCTGTTCTGTGAACTTCATATAGAACAAAGGCAACATGGCACAAAAAGTCATGTAGAAAACTTGCTGTGTGTTGCCACTGGTCTTATTGTGGACTGGGCCTTTGAGCGAAGGAAAGCAATGGGCCAGTCCAGTGTGGGTAGCAAGGCTTTGCCAGGGTAAGCATTTTGCAGTGTGTCGGATTTTCTGGACTAGAGAGGCGCTATATGTGAAAAATGAAGGTGAAACAATCTATGAGTTTGTTCAAAAGTGCTTATTCTGTGGGCAAATTGACCTTTATGGAGAGAAGCTATAGGCACTGGGTTCTTAAAAACTTCAAGAGCACGAGGCCATCTGGTAAAGTACACACTGATCACACAGGAGGTCCCAGAGGCAGTTCAGCGTCTGAGCAGTATGGGGTCAGAGAAAACATTGACTAGAGCCGTCTTCCAGGCTCAGAACCTGAGGTCATCTGCTGAGAGGCTAGGTGAGTAGAAACTTGCTTGCTTCTCCTCCTTGCTTCTCCCTCTGCACTTTCTGACCATTCTTGGGAGGCCAGCAAAGAATCCACGCAGAGAGAAAGGGGCAGTCAGCATAGGAAGTCAGCAGGCCCTGGCAGGAGTCATAGGTGACATTCCAGTGGATGCAGAGAGGAATGCACTCTGTCATCGGAAAACACACTGCAACTTTGGAGATGAGACTGTTTTGAGACAAAAGGACCCCAGCACACTCTGTGCTACTTGAGGATTACCACAAAAGCAGGGCTCAAGGGACCAACTTTTCATGGGGATGAGATAAGACTACCAACTCATCGGATTATTGTGAAATCAAAATTATAGTTTCTTTCTGATCAAGCCCAACATTAGCTCTTGTCAAATTCAGTCATACACTTTCATGAGTTCTCAGCTCAAATCCTCAAACTGTGTGGGAACATAAGGACATATTGCAAAGTTTACCTATGACAAAGAAAAACAAAATAAAAAACCCCACAAAAAGTTGCCTCAAACTAAACAACGTCAGTGAGAGAGGAGGAAAGGGTCTTCCAGAGAGAGAATACTGGGGATGTGGAGAATCACTGACACAGTGCTGTACTCAAGGGGCCCCAGATTGATTGGTGAACGTGTGTGTAGCCCAGGAAGGGGCAGTGTATATGAGAGGTAAGCACATGATGACATAAAGGAGAAGCAGGTCACCTAAGACCAAGTGCCAAGACAAGTAAGTCTGAATCTTTCGTTTAAAAGATTCAAATGAACAAAGAAGCTAGATTCTAGAATAAACATTCAAGTCAGGT